AATACTCCTTGCTTACAACTAACATTAAATATCTTCAATCTATATTACAAATAACAATAATAATAATAATAATAATAACTCAAAATTTGATCCAAATATTAGTTTTGCTAGATTTTTTTTTGTGTAAAAATAATATTCAGGTGTCGTAATTACTTTTTAAAAACAGAAAAAAATTTATTATTTGTATTATAAACCCAATTAGATCAAATAAGTTATTTTAGTTTTATTTTAATTAGATAGTAGAAAAATAGACAATGACAACAAAAAATAAGTCAAATAAAAAAAAATCATAATAATTTAAAAATATTTTTTAAAAAATAAAAAAACAATATAGTTAAATTCCAAACCAATTAAATATAGGATGATGAAATTGGGTAAGAAAAGGAAAAAAAAATACATAAGTCAACTTGAAATAGCATGATAAGCTTATAATCAAGGTAATAAAACCTAGGTAATAAAAGCAAGATGACCCAATAAAAAAATCAATTATAGAAGTACAAATTAAAAAAAATAAATCAACAAATAAAAAGAACCTAAAAATATATCAAAATCAAGTAAGATGATCAAATCATGTGACAATATAACCTAATAAAAACCAAAACAGAAAAAATGGTGAAGATTAATTTCAAAACAAAATAAATTTTGAAGATGGAATTGAAAAAAATATTATAATTCCTTTTTTAAGAAAATGATTGCATAAAAAAGACCAAGTTAACCCGAGTTAATCTATCAAATTTATAATCTAAGTTATAAAATTAAGATAATTCGAGCGAGAAAAAAATAAATAAAAAACCAGAAAGCCTTCATTTTTTTTAAAAAAAACACCAATATCAAATGATAAAATTATAAAAAAAAAAAAGTAAAAAAACAACATTGTCAATTTAAGTTAACTTTTTAAACTCATGATTTGGATCATTAGGTTGGTAGCACCTTATCTGGAAAACCAAGGGCCTAATTCTAACAAATTATACAAATAGATAAAAAAATAATAATTAAAAAAATAATAATTAAATTAAAAAAAGATAAATTAGAGGATAACTACAAATGTTTTATTGAAGAGTGATATTGAAAAAAAAATCAATTTAACTAAAGGATAAAAAAATCAAAAGAATCAAAGATGTTTGGATAGAAGGAAAAAAAGTTGAAAACAAATTGAGATTTCAAAAAAGTGCCAAAAAAAATAAAAAATAAAAGAAGAAGGTCAAAGTTGTAGTATCAATAAATACAAGGATGGCTTTGAAAGTTTTACTATGTGACATTAATATTTAGAGGAGAAGAGAGAATAAAATGAAAAAAATAAATAATTATTGGTGATAAATTATCCCACCACTAATAGTACACTCCACCTTATTAGATAGATATAATTATTATAACGATATGTTGAAAGGAAATTTTTTGTTATTAGAAGTTATCTCACGTGTCATTGAAAGATCATGAACATCTCTTATAAGATAGCATATATATTATACGCGTCAATAATTTTTAAATTTTTTTATTATACCATATTTTTGTTAAAATATTAAATTATTCCCGGTTAGCTTGGTTATAACTATAAAAACTAAGTTGAGAATATAAAACAACTCTCTTACACTATTTTTTTTAAATGTTTTTATGGATAATTTAATTATTTTGTTATACTTTAAAAAATTTGTGAAAATAACTAAATTATTCTTAGTACCTAGTTCAACAATTTTTTTTTTTGTTAAATAACAAAATCATCACTACACTATTTAGTGAATAAGAACTGATTGATACTTAAAAGTGTATTTTTATAAAGGTTTTATATCATCATTTTGCACTTGAAGTATCAATAACTCCTTAACTAAAACATGTTTTATAATAATATATCTAATAATATAAGATACCTTTAATTTATGGTAAATGTTCATTTTAAATGCAAG